TTAACATTTATGTATTATTTCAACAAAATAATAATAACTAAAATATAATTGAAATTAAATTATAGTTTACATAAATAAAATTTATTTACCTAATAATTATCTCTCATCAATGTTTTCTGCAAAACAATAATATGACTAAAAATTAGAAGTGTAAATAAATTATTTAATAACTCAAATTCATGTTTAATCAATTAGGGAAAAAGAATGGAAGAGAAATATAAAGGAGTTTAAGAAGATATAAACCAAAATTAATATAAATATAATATAAAAATAAACATGATAAAATTGAGCAACATTTTAATGGAAAGGAGAGACATATAAGGGAGCAGAAGAAGGAAGAAGAAGACGAAAACAAAATGAGAAGGCTGACCAGTTTTGAGAATATATAGAGCCTCTTACCTATGTGTACTTTGTTGGTATTCATCTTATCGATGTAAGGCACATAGGTTTTATAAAATTTCACGTGGGAGCAAAAATATTTGAAAATTTTGTGCTCTCGCTTCATTTTTTACCGACAAAGTGATTGTTGGAAGCTAAGAACCAAGAATTTTGAGCTTCCCACCATCATTTCCCGAAAATGCATGGTGGGAAGTTGAAAGATGAACTTTTTACCACCATCAAATAATTGTCATAATATTAAAATTTCACACCAGAATTTTAATTAAAAATTACTGAAAAATTATTAACAAACATCTAAATATATAATATTTATCTAAAACAATAAATTTGATAATACTAATATCAAATAAACTAATCATAATATTTTATAGTTTAAATTAAAAAAAAAGTAATATATACATAAAATAATTAGATTCAATGCAAAAACATATAAAAAACAATAACATTACATAAATTGCACTAACTTTGCTCGATCTGGTCACTTTAATGAGAAGAAAAATGGTAATGAAGGAGTAGAGGAAAAATGGAAACGAAAGGGTAAAGGAAAGAAAACTGCTCTCAGAAGAGAAAGATGAAAATGAGAGGGGAAGGGGAGGGGGGTTTCGTAGGGTGTAAAGGAGCAAGTGTCAACCTTACTGACGAAGCTCACGTTGCTAATTAGAAAGCTAATCACCTACTGTGCTGCATCGAGCTCTACTTGACCAACCCCATCTGCAGAAACACATTACCGACAAACATCTAGTTGGAATGAACAAACTTCACCGACGTAAACCTCATCAGCCATAGCATTTTCTGCTCATTCACCTAAAAAGCTACTTGAGTAGATATTACCAAGATCTTTGCAACTTACTGACAAGGTTGTTGTTGCATGATCTTGAAGTTATCGACGAAACCATCGTCGGTCTCCAAACTCTCTACCCACTGCACCGGAAAAGCTGCCGGAGCTGGGAGAGAGAATATTTATATGTCTTACCGACAAAAGACGCGTGTATATTATCTAAATTTACCGACAAAATCCTCCTCTGAAAGTAAAACAATATAAATTAATTTTGATGGTACTGTTTCTCACTTTACAGACTTTTTTTTCGTCGGTAAATTATTAGTTCACCGACCAATCGTCTTTTATCGGTGATTTTTGGTCGGTGATTTTATGTTTTCTAGTAGTGAAGTGGCAAAAACCCATAGATTGCCCTTCAACTTTTTGAGTGTGTGGAACTTTACCCCTCATGATATTTGAGTTTATGATGTTATACCCTATTGATATTTGGGTTTATGATTTTATTATCTCATGATATTCGAGTTTATGATGTTATACCCTCCTAAAGTTGTAAGATGAGGGGTAAAGTTCCGCACACTCGAATACCAAGAGGATATAAAATCATATCATGAGGGTATACAATCACATATTATAAGGTAAGGGGTAAAGTTTCACACACTCGAAAAGTTGAAAGGCAATCTGTGGGGTTTTGCCTTGTGTAAGTATAGTGTGTAAAATTTGTGTATAAATGGATCCCTACTTATATCTGTGTGTGTGTATTCTTGAATAAATGAGTGAAGGTCATTGTTGTAAAGCATGGAGACTTGATTTTATATGAGATTTCTCTTTAGAATTCTTTCCTTTGGTCTTAAACACTTGCAAAAAACTTATTAAAGTCTTTCAATGGCTTTTTTTTATCATCAAAATCATCATAGGAACTGTAATATCCCAAATTTTTGGAAATTTCATCATTTAAGTTAGGGACTTGATTGTGAGAAAATATTGTTTTGTGCTTAATAGCCAACATTCCCAAACTTGAGGACTTAAAAAGGGAAAAGATTTTGGATAAGGATGGCTTCTTTTCTTTTTCTCCTCTTTCTTTCTTTCTTTCTTTCTTTTCTTCTTCCCAGCCCGCGTGTTCTGCTCTTCTTCTTTCTTCCCGCTGCAGCCCGAAATCCCCCCAAGCTGCCGGCGACTTCCTCCCTTGAAAAACCGGTGAAGCTTGATGATTTTTGCCTTATTTTCTTGTTCTAGAACTGAAAAATGGAACCCAGAAACCTTCTCCCCTGCTGGAAATTCCAGATCTGCCTTGCTCTGCTTGTCTTCACCGCCGGCTGCTAGTGGGTATGGGTGATTTCTGGGCATTTTTTCGGTAATAACAGCCCCTAATTTCCTTTGTTCTTGCTTGAATTGGCTTGGGTTAACTTTGATTGCTCTTATTTCCTTCAATTTTGGGTAGATCCGTGAGTTTCTCCCCTGCACTGCCGCCGGCTTCTCCCCCCTGCTAGGCCCGGTTCTGCAGCTGCTAAATTCTGGTATGAGGGCCACTTCTTTAAGCTCACATTTGTCCATTTATTTGCTGCCTTGTATGTCCGAATTGTGTTGGAAAAATGGGGAAATTCCGGTAGCAATTAAGAGGGGTTTAAGTGTGTTTTGTTGCTTAATTCATGTAGAAAATTTGTTAGTTGATTGCTGTGATTTTTGGAGAGAAAATCCCGTGAATTAGCTAGTGTTTTGGCCAATTTGTGGAAGTGGAGTTACTGTTCACACCCGCCAACAATTAACGGGGATTTAAATGATTAGTTTGTGATATAAGAATGAATTTGGAGATATCTGATAATGTGGAGATTGATAGAAATAGCATTGTGATTAGGGGTGATCCTAATGATGATTTCAGTTTGAATTTGTGGTGATACGATAATTAATTGTGGATATTTTGATTAGGTTCTCGATCGTTCTGTTAGTTAGCACTGAGATTGAGTGCTCGGTTTTATGCGAGTGAGGTAAGTAAATTATGGTAACGCCCTTTGATTTTAAAAGCATGTTTTGATTTATTTTTGAAGTGGTGGCGGGATTAAACCCGTTTCATACAGAAATGAGCATGATTGATTTGAAATGAGATTTTGATGCTTTTCATTAAATTGAGCATGCCTACTTGGAATCTAATTGATTGTCCTGATGATCTGAAAGTGATTGGTGAATTATGTTTTTCTGTTAACTTCAGCCTGGTTTGTCTCCGATGTGGTCATGTTTCTGTAATCCTGCTAGTGGGAGTTAAACGCTAGCACATGTCGGCACATGTCGATATGTT